ACTGGGTGACTAAAATGTTTTGGGGATAACAAAATGTACCATACTGGGGGGGCTGGGGGTGGAGGGGGAAGGGGGGGGGGGGAAAAAAAAAAAAAAAGAGAAAGTGTATTCATTGATTTCTTCTTCTTTCTTAAAAACAACCACCCAACAACAATAGTTCAAAAGAGCCATACAAATTTAAAACATTAGGTATTAAAAGTGAGGGGTGCAAGCATAATACCTTTTAAGAATCGAGGCTTCTTCTAATGCCAAAAAGGGTAGATTTAATCCAAATTTACAGTCTGGAGTCTTAACTGCTGTTGCTGTTAAGTGCATTAACTGAAAATACTGTGATACAAAAAGAGCTAAAATAATTTCAACCATTTTAAGTAATAATTCTACAGAAATTCTGTGTTCATTAATCTGACTATACATTTTGTCTGTTTGACTACAATCCATGAAGAGACAGCTTCAATGTGATTACATTACTATTATTCCTGGTGAGAACTCTGCATTACAATAGTTTGCCCATTTAGGACAGAATATCATTAAGAATACCCTGGGAGAATTTTACTGGTCTTTGAGGGAACTCTCTTTTCATTTTGCATTGTATTCTTTTTAATAAAGGGAAGCAGAAACGTAGTGAAAACAGTAATTGTTCACAGCAAGAGTTAGGGAGAAATCAGTAATAATATTCAGTTATTGCAGCTCTATAGTCCCTGCTAGTGCTCCTGTAAGCAACCATGAATGATTACAGCACGACTTAGCTAAGGTAGCCACTATGGATGATTGATAGGACATTAATCAAAAGATGCATATCAGGCTCAGAATTTGTTCACAAGCTTTCTTCTAATAGCTGATTTCATGTTCACTGAGCTCTATGCCAGTTTGTTCAATTTATTCTTCAGTGTACAAGCCATTCATCAAAGAACACAATGATTTAACACCCCTTTTCCTTTTTAGTGAACAAACATTACTAAGTGTAACTACTCTGGTCTGTTCATTAAAAAACATACAATTACAATGTCATACATGAGGGTGAAACAATGCCTCCTTACTATACCCTGGCGTTATTTGCTTCCATATATATCCTGTGAGTTCATCTCATATACTTCGAACACTAGACAAGACCATCCTGAAGATGCTATCAAATTCACCAAGATCAACACACACAACACAGAAACGATTTGGATGATGTATTTCATTTCTCTGTGAGTGGTGAACGCCCAGGACAGCTTCACCCTTCAGCTGAATCAGCTTATAAGCAAAAAAAAATAAGATTTCATTGGGAGTTCCAAGCACATAAGACCCTTGAAAATACAGGTTGGTTTTTTTCCCTTTCTAGGTGTTCAAGCATGGCACAACATTACCCAGCTTTGCAAGCCCACATTCAAAACTTTGGTGACATTCTTCAGATCATAAACAGCAAAAAGACAAACTCAGGATTCAGCTGCAAGACTTAAGACCTCAGCTTAGAGTTGTAGATCTTGCTCAGCACTGCTCCGTGACTACAGTCACATCAGCACCTGCATCTAACGTTAATTTTTTAACATACCCAAAGCAAGAGCACAGGAGATCCCTCCCAAACAGTTCAGAAAAAGAACTGCTGTGATTTGCATATAGTTTTATCTCAGTAGGAGGCTGTTAAGGTGCTGCTGACTATAGACCAAGGAACTTGCACACCAAAGAGGAACCTTTGGTCCCAAGTGGGAAACAGACTGTAGGAGCCCCAAGATGTATACATCCAACTAGCACTTAATGCAACTCACTTGTATTTACTGCAATTTGGCAATATTCTCCACCCAGTCCCTCCAAAGATGGGAGAGGACTGCTGTGTCAATAGGGTGGTTTTGGTCAAGCATCCCTACCCCACCTAGAGCAACACAACAAGTGATGATGCCTCCTCAATGGCAAAATACCTTTCTAACTGAAGGGCAAAAGCAGCTCTGCTTTAAAAAATACAAAAGCTAATTCCACCAGACTGCAGTGACACACCTTACACTAGTATAGTGCAAGTGCTTAAACATTAAATAAGTATATTTGCTACGTCCCTCCCTATATATATATAAAAATGGCTTCCATCAAAAGGACAGACTTTACCTCACAGAAATGTCCTCTTTATCTACATCTGCTTTAACACCATATGAGCCTCCAGAAGGAGGATGCGAAGCCAGGCATCGCCAACTTTTGTTCAACCTGCAAGCAAAGAAACCTGTAGAGGTTCAGTAGGGGAGGCAGACATCATCCTACTGGAAAACAATGACACCAGCAGCAGATCCATTAAGACACAGCTGGACAGATGTGCCACGGAAAGGAGGAACCCTTATTTCTTTAGCATCTTTCTTTTGCCCTGTGCTGAGCATCAAGGGTTGATTCTCAGGTGCTAGGATTTTCCTATAGAGCTTGGCAACCCGCACTTCATTCCCTCTACCTCCAAACTTCAAACGTCTCAGACTAAAATGAAGAGGAGATCGTGATGGAGCAGAGGAAGAGCCAGCAGAGCTAAGGGGAGTGCTCAGAAACGGCGACAATGGTTCAGCCACCAGGGTGATTTCTTCAATAGCTCAGATAATAGCTCAGATAGCTGCCTTCAAACAATTCTCTCCAGCTGTTTCCAGAGAGCTTCTTCATAAGGCAAGATGACCTGGCTGGGTTTAACGTCACTGGTGTGCAAGATGCTGTCACAGGGTAGCCTGGGTGATTTTTCTGATCTGAAAAGATCAGAAGGAGCTGAAGAGAACAGAAGGTGGCAGGTCTTTCTCTGCCTTTCAGAAACCATTCAGGCTGCTCCACAATGAAATTGATGTTGTGGGCCAAAAAGAAGAAAAAGAAATCAAGGCTCGCGATGTTGCTGGCACGGAGTGCTCTGTTGGGAAGGGGAGACCTGGATTCCTGCCCTCTTTCCCAAAGTTTTTAAAGCACTTTGTTAAATATCTCTTGAATACAGGATGTGTGAAGAATCCCTGTAGCCCACAGCCCCGTCAGGCACCGTGGGATGCCTCTGCCTTGCCCGGCAGCTGTATGCTCTCTTGCTGGCCCCACCAAGCTCACGTTGTTTCCTAGCCAGGAGGCCAGCATCAGCAGGAAGGGACCTTGCCCAGCCCATCCAGCAATATCTGCTTAGAAACGTGCTCCAAGATGGAGCTCAGCAACCATCTAAAATTCATGCCCAGAGGCAGCAAACAATACCTGAAAGTAACCCTTTTGAGAGTCCAGAACTACTAAAACCAACAACCAGGAGAGCGATGAGCGGTTTCAGGCACCTTATTTTAAGGTATCTTAAAAGGGGCTGTATTTCAGACAAAGGGTGCTCAACACTTTCAAAATCCAGATGCCAGAACAAAGCAAGATGCCTGCCCCAATCGTTCACATTTTCCAAAACACCAGTCACTTCCAAAAAACCTTGGATTCACAGAAGTGCAAGTGAATTATGAATCTTCCATCAACCTTCTGAGAAACGAAAATCTACACCACTGCAGGGAATCTGATCTGTATTTCTCTTACAGAGTTTGGGGTTTTTTTTAAACAAAGTAGAAAAGGAAAAAAAAAGAAAAAGATGAATGCATGTAAGACCACTAATAAACTACATGCAGGTTATCTTTTTAGCTGTTGAGTTTTATGGGGGATAAGGGTTAGGAAAAATGTGTAATACTCCTGCTTAAGCATTCAATAACTCATATACACTGACAGAAAAGCCCATCAGTGATATCATTTATTTTTCCATACTGTGGGCTTCTGTGTCTGTCTGTCAGTCTGTCTCTCTCGCTCTCTTTCTCTTCTCCTCCTCTGCGAAGTCTCAAACTCCCTTCACCGGAGGTAAAGCAGGGCAGTGAACTACATTGCAATTACATGAGCACATCAAGTTTTAAGGAACAGACTTCAAGAAGAAGAAAAACAGACGTTATAATCAAAACCAAACTTTGTGGCTACTTTGTGGCTGTCCTACTAACAAGGTCATCCAGTTTCTGGTCACAGCTGCGGAATTTACCGCAAAACAGCTGTGAATTCAAGTCAGGAAAAATT